GAAGCAGCTATCTGGGAGGTTAGAAGCATGCGGTTTGCTGAACTGTACTTAAACATGGCTGTACATTTAAAAAGCAGCTCAGGTTCATCTATGCCAGGGGTCTGCGACCTTCACAGTCCATTCTTGCCCTCAGTCCGGTTAAAACCACTTTAGAGCCACAAATGTTCCTCGCCGCTCTGGAAACAGAACATATTTCTGATTATATTTCTGCCTATTTTAAAGAAGCACAATTTTATTTTGAGGTTTTGGAATAAAATTTAAGTTGATATTTAAGTTGGTATTATTTGTGGTGCAATGGGACATAATAGATAAAAAAATAAAAACAGTTTGGTACCGTTAGTCTTATTCTGTTTTGCCAGTCAGAGCAGTTAGTTTAATATATAGAAATGGAAAGATTGCTAAAACCTGCAGTTTTTGTTATTATTGTTGGCATAATATTCTGTATTTAGAAACATTAGTTGGTTCTCTATGATGTTTAGCCAAGGTTTTTAAGAAGGAAGGTCCAAAGAGCCACCTTTGGCTGACCTCTGATCAATGCTGTACTGATCGTCTCTCTGTGGTCTTCATAATGTAAATAAAGCAGCTCTGAGCATGTTGTAGATCTTTGTTAATCAGTTATAGACACGCTGTATTACTGTACTAAGCATCATTAAGCTCCGGCTTACCGTAAAGGCAGCTTTAGTGGCCAAATCAATCGTTTAGCCATTAACTTTCTCCAAATACGGAGGCAGACTAAACTTACATACGATTACAGCATCACTCACAGCCGCTCAGGAGCTTTATACTCTAGGGGAAAATTCAATGTAAATACATGTAAGGCTATTCCCGTCCTGCTATTAGTGGTGGTAGCATCGTGGCCGTTTGGGAGGATTCTCAGAACGTGTTTCATCGTTGTTTCTTATTAACGCGCCACTTCAAACGCCACAGAAGCCGCACACGTGTGCGTTTGTGTATGTAAGCTACAGGAGGAACATGCTATTTCCGTTGTAAGGCTCGGGGGGGGGGGGATACAGCCAACTGGGGTCAAAAGTCAGAGTTCAGAGATGAAGAGGTCACACAGTTGCACCATCTGGCTAGCAGAACCTCAGAATATCTGGCACCACCTTAGATTTATTTGGGAACAAACGTTCGTTTTTTCAACATTTATCAGCTGCTTTTCTCCGAATGATCAGAATCGGCTCCTAAACACAAATCCTCACATCAGAGTTGGAAATTATTTACATCCCCTGGAGTGTGTAGAGACCCGCTGACATAAAACACATGCTCCGTCTTATCACACGGAAGACCCAGTCAAAGGTTATTTGTAGAGGCTTATGTGGATTCTTTACAAGCAAATGAAAACAGCAGCAGACGCATCAGAAGCCAAAGCAACATAAATAGTCGTCCAGGTCTGAGAGGAAAGTGTAAAGTGACAGATTAGATTTCCCGTAGTACCAGAGGTGATCCTGCTCATTAGTCACATCTAGTTTGAGACGGATGACTAAAAGTTTTATTTAATATTAGAGCTGGAATCATCCCGGTCATCTTCATCATCAGCGTAAGAATAGAGAGAGAGGACATGGAGACTAAATTTAACTGTTATAAGGCAGACTTGCTTTAATTGGTATAAAATTAGTTTTGTTCTTAAAAGTAAAGGATATGAAGTGGACAAAGACAAATGCTTCTTCTGAATGATGCACCTTCATCGGGGGTAATAATAAAAGGACTGTCCTGCATGCTAATGTGCACAGATGGATCATAGTGCCCAAACACTTTCAGAAAAACGGTTCCGTCATCAGAAAACATTCTGTTTATACAGACCTGCAAATCCACAGCTAAATATTTCTCATCCTCGGTTCTGTGTACATCAGAACAGCAGCCATTCTTCTGTTTTCTCCATTTGCCTGCAGCAGGGTGGAGTTTTCTGCAGCTTGCTGAAAGCTTGTTAAATCAGTTGTTGGATGAAGCACCTCTTTCCATTATAAGCACGGTATTTTTCTTTTTAACTCCAGCAGGCTAACAGAGGAGCATCCAGTGACGTACAATCGTGAATGTTTGATATAAAGGCCCCTTTTTCCACATTTTCCAGTAGAGTTGGTGTTGTTTAAAGGAAGTAGGTGTGCATAATAGAGTCGGACCCTGATAGGTTGGATGTGGCCCCGTTCAAACCCAGTTCTGTGGAATTTGGTAGCCCCTTAGCCTCCACCTACATGCACCATGACACGAGCTGTTGTGACAGACCTCCCACATGCACATTCAGAACAGGGGCAGCTTTTAGACCAGAGCAGAGGCACTGCAGCCTGCAACATCGACAGCTCTAAGCTGGAGATAAAGTCATTCAGCTGAGTGAGGAGAAGCAGGAACAGAAGCCAACAGAAGGGGTAAATTGGGATTAAACGTTTGCTGCTCATACAGGTAAGAGACCAGCTTCCTGCCGTGCAGAGGTAGAGGGGCTGAGCTGTTTCCAGCAGACCAGGCGGGTGCCCAGCATGTTGAGGCATTGTTGTTGATTGAGTGATGATGTAAAATTATCTGTGCTGTGACAGATCGTCCTGAGTCTGGGAGTCTCATGTGACTACAGGACAGGTGATAAAATATGTGGTGAAATTAGAGAGTGCAAAGGAGTCTCCTTTCACGACTGTCTATGTTTATCTGCATGGCTGCTGCATTAAATGTGTTTGTTGGCTCACATCCGTGGGACTGCGTGAGCAGATTGGTACTCACTGGATATCTGAGTGTTTTTATGAGCTTTATACATATGAAGTGATGACTTGATTTGGAGCCTCCTGTCAGACCAGCTTGGCATTTAGGTGAGCGAGATGGAATGAGCTTAAAACATAAATAAATAATAAATAAAGAAATTGGTCGCATTTTTGGCTGCTTGGTGGAACAGCTGGTAGCCCTGTTGCTTCACAGAAAGAAAGTTCATGCAGAAATCTTTCTGCATGAAGTTAGTTTACATGTTCTCCCTGCATTGGCTTTCCATACACGTCCAAAAACATTACGGGGAGTGTTGGCCTAGTGGTTAGAGCAGTGTGGTTGTGCTTTGAGAAGATTGCAAGTATAGCCTACACTCTGGGTCCCTGAGCAAGACCCTTAACCCCACACTGCTCCCCGGGTGCTGCACAATGGCATCCCACTGCACCCCAAGGGGATTGGTTGAATACAGAAGTGAATTTCTCCAGTGTGAGATAAAGTTCAATTATTTATTTTATTTAAAATGCACTTTGGTATGATTTTTCTGCTTCTGTTGGTCGTCAAAAATAGGTTGATTGATTACCAGGATGGGGCAGGAGATGATTTAGTGGATAAGAGCTTAAGCTGTGCCTATGTTCGCATCGATCTCTTTCGGTTGAATAAAAAGTAGAAAATACTTTTAGACACAAAGCTCTCAGTCTAATAAGTTAAAATATCCATACCCTCACCTATAGTCATACACATCGGTTCATCAGCATGGATGGAAACGATGGGCTTGGTCAGTCTGTCCCTCAGGGATCAGAAGCTGCATCATTTGGAACGCTGTAGATCGTACTTCACCACATTCAGAGCAGTCGGACTTTTTTTTTCGCTTTTCCCTTGGCAGGTTTTCCACATATGTCAAACTTGAAAGAAACTCTGTTGGAAACGAAGAAATCACAGAAACTTTTACAATCAGAAGCTGGACAGAAAGGGATGTGCGAATGTGCTTCTTTAGCTTGTAACCATGGCAACCCATTACTCGCATGGATCACATGGTTCCCACGCCTTTATTCTCCACTCTCACTAAAAATGTTGTCAAAGTCTGAAACAGACTCAGAATCCATAATAAAAGAATATATGTACGACAAGGAGGTATTTGCATGCATCTGGCTGTTGTCAGGTTAGTGTTTATTGGCATATTTATCAATTAAACTGGAGAACATTTTGCTGTCCATACAATCTGTTAGAAGCTGAATTGTTGTTATTTTTGTTGCATCCAGGCCTTCTATGCAAACCTGGAAACATTTATGTTCCATAACCTTGCAGATTGTGTAATGGTAAATTAGCAGCCTTTCCTTGGCAGCTTGTCTATGGTCAGCCCGGGAGCTCCGCCATGGCCGGCCAGTGCACGCCCACTGAGCTCCAAGACAAAGGCCTGTTTTCACTAATACAGATATGAGAACGTCTATAGGTTTTAGACAAAGGCAGCGTCTTTACGCAGCTCCTCTTTCCGCTGGAAATTGATAAAATGACACACGTCTATTGTTTTTTTTTTTTTGGATCATGTTGGTTCTAGGGAACTTTAGCGGAAGATGAAAGAACCATTTGCTCTCCTCTTCAGAAGTGTTGTCCACTTCTAAATTTAAACAAACTCACATTTTTTATTTGTCTGCTCAAATGCATTGCGTGATCGTTCGGCTCTGGTTCCCATTGTTCACTGATGATGGAGGAGAACTGTGCTTTGTTTGGGGTTCCAATTTTAACCTTCTACTTGGCTTTTATATGTTCTATTTGTGAGTTTTTTTTTAGGCCAGGAGAACCCTTCTGGCCTTTCTTAGTCAGTGAGGGAAAATTTCCCTATGATGACTAACTCTTTCTGACTGGGTCACCCTATATCTTCCCAAGGCTTCGCTGCAGCTGTACGTGAAAGGTTGAGCCGTAAACACAAGAAATATCTTCTGATGAACTGGTGTTAGTCAGATGGTGCATATTTATCTTTAAAAAGCCTAACTGGTGATTTCATCATATTTTCCACAGTGAGCTGCAGTAAATGTTCATTTCCTGAAGCTGGTAGAAAAAGTGGACATTTGCCAGGAACTTCCTTGGCAGGCCCCTGACTATTTTCTGAATGCCCTTTTTTCATAGCTTTACACACTTTTCTTCTTTATTTATGGATGAATACCTCTATTTTTAGTAGATTGCACAGTTGTACTTCTAGTTCCCTAGCAGCTGTAACTTCAGAAATGTGTGGGCAGCTGAATATAAATGTGAAAAACTGAGACATTGTTGATGACCCTGTTTATCCTGATCGGACTAAATACATGTTGTTCTGCTTGTTTCAGACGTCATCCATACCCAAGGACCTCTGGATGGAAGTCTTTATGCCAAAGTTCGTAAAAAGGAGTCTTCTGAAGGACCAGTTACGTCGAATGGACTTCCAGCCGCTGCTGTTGAACACACTTTACCAGCCGGTGACCACGCCCTGTCAGTGAGCAGTGATTCAGGAAACTCCACCGCCTCCATCAAAACTGACCGAACGGATGAAGCCACATCAGCCACACAAGCTTCCACTGTGAGCCAGACTCACATTACTGCGGGCGAGGAGTTACCTTCGGTCCATCAACAACCTCCACCAGCTCAACAACCTATAAGTCCCAAGGAGAAGAAGGAGTTAGAGCAACTACTGAGTGGATTGGAGGGGCCCTTGCACAGACAGGCCTATCTTTCCACCCAAACATCTACTGCCAGTGCAGGAATGCTTCACCTGGTGCCCGCCCAGGTCCATGTTAATGGGCACAACGGCATTGACCGAGAAACGGACATCCTAGATGATGAACTGCCCACCAGCCAAGAGGGCAACAGTGTGGACAGTCTGGGGACATTTTCTTCCACAGATGGACGAGCTACACCCGCTGACCTTTACTACCAGTCTGAGGGATTTAGCAACGGCCATGAGCCTGTGCCATATCTGGAGCGCAATGTTCCACAAAAACCTCTGGAAACCATTCAGTCCTATGTTAGCAGGTCAAATAGACCTGGTGGTCAAATGCAGAGTGATCCGACAGCACCACCGGAAAACTACATGGCTACACAGAATGGCAGCCTGTTCCGCTCTCGTTCCTTTGGTGCCGAGCCCAAGTCCATGCCAGAAGCTCCAGCCCGCACCACCAGCAGCAGAGATGCCGTCCAGCGTGGTCTAAATGTCTGGCAGCGGTTTGGAGTTCCAGAGGAGCCTGTAACTGAAGGCATCACATTTAGTCCACTTCCATCGATGTCGATGTCCACTCATCATAGCCTGCCACAGTTCCCGCACCGACACAGTGCCTCTCAGGAAGAGATTGAGCAGTCTATTGAAACCCTCAACCTGCTCATGCTGGACCTGCAACCTGGCCATTCAGCTGTGTCAAAATCCCAAAGCACCCCATTGAGGGAAGCCGTAGTTACCACGCAGCCGTCTTTCTCCCAGAGCCAAACCAGACCGTCCCACCAGACTGATGCCGCCCTTCATGTTCCTATTCCTGTGTCCAGCTTGGCTAGCCATTCGTCAACAGCTCACACGTCATCTGGAAAGCCAGGCTCACCCGAGCCTACACCTTTCAATGTACCTTCAAATTACTCCTCTTCAACCATTGGTTCTTCACAAACCCTGCCCTCTTTAAGCAGCCACCATCAGTTCAAACCGTCAAGCACATTCCCAACAAGTATCCAGACCCAATTCTCAGAGGTTCCTCAATCTCAAAGAAGCCCTAGTGCTGCCTCAGTATCATCTCAACCAAGAGACAGTGAACCAGAGGAAGTTTTCAATGTAGAAGGTCTGGTGGCACAGAGAGTGGCTGGTAAGACCTGTTTATTTGTTTATTTAGATTTTTCTTTTATTTTATTCACACTTGTAAATTAACAATAAGGACAAACGACAGTGGCAACATCGGTAGAATGTTTGTCCTGAGGCTTGAGGGTCGCCAGTGAACCTCAGCTCCATTCACTTCATTGTGACCTTGGCCATGCCCACATTACCTACTGATGGTCAGAAGGCAGGGTAGTGCTTGTGTATCACAGCCTTGCTACAGCCACCGCGCCTCATTGCAGTTGTGGCTACAATGTAACTTGCCACCATCAGTGCCAGAATATGTGTGAATATTTCATTGGCCATTTACAAAACAGCAGATATAGAGGCTTCTAAAGTACACACCCCAGCATCTTCCCAATGAGTTCAAACTGGAGCACATTTTAGTGATAAGAGAGAACAGCTAGGCCTGGTCAAAAATCTTCTAAATCCTTTAGGGAGAATGTTCTGGATGGATGGAATCCAGCTGGATCGTTTGTGCCATAAGTCCAATAGTTATGGTCAGCACAAAACAGTAGGCTGTATCACCAGAACACCACGTCCACTGTAGAACATGGTGGGCTTTTTTCAGCCGGAGCTGAGGTAGTTGGTCATTTTTCAAGTTTTGAAACAAACTCTGTGGGTGTCTGTTAAAAACCAGCAATTTTATTTTTCTTTATATATCTTTTTATTCTTGTAGACAGTCTAAGAGCAAATCCAACACAACAAAACTACTGATTTTACTGTTCGCTGGATCAGACCAGCAGTTTGATACAGAGAACTTCCCCAAGGATTTTGAACCAAGATTTAAGATACCTGACGCCATATGCATTATTTCTCCTTGCAGATAAGTTTCTTTTAGGGTCTTAAAAACATCTTAACCTGATATTTTACATGTATCTTTCTTCTGAAACAGTTTTGAAATTCATGTTTTTATTAGAAAATTAATAGAGCTCAGAGACTCCTTGTCATGCCTCCTTTTTTTTTTCCTCACAAGGGCATGGTCTAGAATCTGACTGGTATGCACATTCATATCGATGTAACATTGGCCATATTAGGAGATAGCCATGGTCTGTTTACCATTGTTTCCTGGTTGTATCCTGGTTGGACTATTTTCCTGGATTGTTAGAAAGCTCCTTTTTGGTGGAATAGAGACAGTAATGGTGATAAAAAGAGAGGCTATAGTTAGCGCCTTCCACGAATGATGTAAACAAGGAAGAGGACCCAAATCCTACTCTGTATAGAGTGTGCTCATATGGAATATTCTGGATTAAATAGCAAAGAAAACATTTCATACAGCCTGGATTTTCAAACAGGCTTTAATTCAACTTTTTATTGTCATGTTGTATACACAGAGTTTATACAAAATGAAATTTAGTTTTTTGCTGCTTTCATAACATTTCCATTCCTTAAAGTGCAGCAGTGATCAAATGTAAACAGTGTGGGAGAAAAAAAACATGGTTCAGTTCAGCAATTCAACACTAATGCAGGTTTTTAACATGAAAAAGTAAGATTTCTGGGTGATGACTTCTTTTATGTACAGAACTTAATCAATGTGGAAATATGGCTGAAATTATTTATTGAGTTTTGAGTGATTTATGTCTCAAAAAGCTTGTGTTTTGACACCTGGTTGGTAACCTTTTTTTAAGCCACAGTAATGAGTTGGAAATTTTAACAGTAGCTTGGCCACATTTGGTCTGCTGTAGAAAAACTGTTGAGGAGAAAGATGGCCTATGCCATTAACCATTGCTGAAATATAAACAAATCTCTGTTGAAACACACGCTCTGCCTTTATCTGGTTTCCTGGCAGTCGACATCACTCAGCCTTAAACAGGAAGGGTTTTCTAGTCCAGTAGGTTGACAGTGTCCAGATAAAAGCATGAGACATCCTGCAGATGGTTTAGCAGGACAGAGTCAACATGAAGCAGAGCCACAAGGAGGCATTCTAGAATCCAAGCTATGCTTCAAGTCCTTTAATTGCTGATATAATGTTAGACTGTTGGGGTTTGTTTTAGTTTTGCCGTCATGTGAGCCAACGTTCCATGTGCAGACTGTAAACAGGAGCATAAGATATCTCTTATCTTCTTCCTTTGCTGTTGTTTTCAGATGACCTCATCCTCTCTCTTCTCCTCCTCCTTTAAGTTTTATCTTAATCTCCTTTCTTCCATCATTCATGTGTTTGTCCAGAGTACTCGGCTCGAGTCCAAAACATCAACCCCAGCATGACCTCTTCTCAGTCAGAGCACCGCCGCTCTCACTCCCTCTCGGGTTGGTTCTCCCATCCGGTCTGAAGGGAAACGTCAGGAAAACGGGAGATGCTTTTCCCGTTTATCTGAGCGTTTCTTCTTTCTGAGTTCAAAACTGTTTCTTCTTTACCTGTTGGGTGTGGTGGGCTTTGTTTTGCATGGACTCAATTCTGTCGTCTTTTCCTGCTTCACTAAAAACTATTTCTGTCATTGTCTAGTTTTAGAAACTATATCACCAAACTTCTTCATCATGCGTGTTTGTTCTGAGTTGCAGTTTCCTTTCTTAATTTTCAAAAAGGTAAAGGAGGGGTAGAGCATGAAGCAAACAAGCCAAAGGGATAATGTTAAATGTTTCAGAGTAACAGGACAGAGGAGGAACAAAGGAGGCTCTGTGTCCTACCAGGAGAGAGTGTGTCACAAGATCTGTTTTGCCAAAGATGGGGAACAATACTGAAGCCAGGATACACTGGCCTCTTTCAAAGCCACTTTTATCACTTTTATACCTTTTTCATGAGTTACACAATAAGACAAAATGTTAAATGGAGACCAGAGGAGTCTCCAGACGTCAGTGAAGATGAATATGTCCTCTGAGAACCAGTGACCCGATCCAAATGTTCAGGATTCCTCACCAGAGATGTTCCCAAGAGACTCAACACCCCTAAAGCTTACAGAGGAATTAGGTGTTGATGTACTAACTGTGTGAAGGAGCAGCAGTGAAGTCATTATTGGCTGAGTTTCTTAAATGACCTCTAACAGCGGCAGGTGTGAAGATCTGAAAGAGCCGCCCTGATCACCTGAGCGTCGCGCTGCTTCCGCAGGATGGTCGGAGTTTAAACCAAAACGATGCGGAAAATAATCTGGAATCAGCAGCTGTTAACCATTAGCCGTTGCTGTGGTAACAGCGTGCTGCTTCACAGCGCTGTGCCGTAGGGAGGTGTATGTTTTGAACACATGTGGGCCTGGGTTTTCCAGGCTCTGTTTCTGGGTGGGTGTGTTACCCTTTTTTTTTTTTTAAACCTGGAAAACAAAAAAGAAAACAGATTTCTACCAAACAAGGGGTGTTACTGGATACAAAAACTGATCATGTGGGGCTGCAGGACATCTGTTCTGATGTGTCCTCCACCATTTCTAATCAGCCTTTCTTCATCTATGGCTGAAACACTGCAGTACTGTACATCCCTGTCTGCATATCTCTCTTTGTTCCCTGGAAACTATATTAACAGGTTAAATCCTGATAGTTACAGAACTAAAATGTTTATAATGATTTGCCTTAGCTAAACAAATGATGCATACAGACGGTGCTGTAGTTTGAGACATGTTATTGCAGGGAGCAGTTGACCAGGAGCCAATCAGCAGATACTATTGTTACAATGCAAACTATGGAATCTAAGCAAGTCAGTTTATTTTTTGAAATAGGTGTATTTCCTCCTATATGAGCAGATAAGTCAATTTGCTAGCGGAATTAGATCATTTATGTTTAAAATAAGACTAAAACGTGCATAATATCTAATGATTAAAAGTCAAAATCATTCCTTGGGAAGAACATCATATTTATTTGCTCATCATAAGAGTAAAAGTACTTAATTTATGAAATTATTACTTTTTTGAACAGTTTCTTCAGTGTGAAAAGTTGCTTTACTCAGCAGCCTTGCTAATTACCTTGTTTGCCTTATTATGGTATAATAATATCAGGTCCCAGCTCAGATTTGTAGAGGCAGCAGAACTCATCAATCATCAATTATGAATACTATTATTGTTTTTTTGTTTTGGGTTGTGTTTAATTTCATTTTAATTTAAGGATTTAAGGCTGCCAATATTGCTGAATCTAGCATGTTAAAGGAATAAAGGAGCAGGTTCAATGTAGTTTATCCTTCCTGTTATCAGGTGAAACTCTTGATCTCTTTCAGGTCAAATGACCTGGACATGTCAAAATTAATTTAAAATAATATTGATTTCTTTTAAATTCTCATATCTCTGTCCTGAGCGAATGAGTGGATTTATAGAACCTCACTGAGACGGTATGCTAACACCTTATATCCAGTGAGAGCTGGTATTTCTAGCCCATCATGGCCGATCATGCTGATGTAGACTTAATTTTATCATAATCTTATTCTCTACATGCCTAGTTTTACCAGGCTCTATGTGGACTTGAGTAAGTTTTCTTTTAGAATACATTTCAGCTTCTTCATTAAAGGAACAGAAGTAAGAATTGGATTCAACACATTCAACGGAATGAAACTAAAACTACTAAACGTGATGATTTTTGTTTTTTAATTCTACTTTAAATTGAATAAGATCAATGAACAGCAGCATTTGTGCTGGGAAACAGTGCGGGTGGATCATTTTGGTTGGTTTTGCAGGAAACTCGGGTATTAAATCCAGGTTAAAAGCGTTTATTTTAACTTTGAAACATGCTCACCAGGGTGCAAATCATTTGGTTTCCTCAGTCTCTGTTAAACTTCAGAGTGGGGAGTTTGTTTTGGTTTAATCAGGTTCATTATTTTAAAGCGCCTTTTTTTCCCCAGCAGATTTTAAACATGTCGATTATTTCCATCAGTAATAACAGTGATGGTATTTTGAAGAATAAGATCTCTGATTAAAATGTAAAGCAGCCGTCAGACTGTGAAACCTTAGAGGGTAAACTGCCTCAGAACAAACACAGGACATGAAAATGTTTCTCTGTTCTTAAAGCCGTTGAGTTTCTCCAGCTTCAGATCTTAATCCAAAGTGTGAGGCAGCTGCTGACGGGTTAACACACTGACACCATGTTTCTGAATTCAGGCTTTACTTCTCCAACTTTTTACTAGACGGATTGTTGGGTATTTGCTTTAAAACTTTAACTGCGCTCTTGTTTCGCTCTAATGCTGTTAGGTTTCTGCCTGGCTCTGGAAGTTTTAGCCGATTAATGAAGATAAGCTTACTCACAGCTTTGAAGAACTGCCAATGTCTGATTTTTATTAAGTGTATTTCTGCCTGTTAATTTTCCTGGTTGGGATTTTAATAACATTGATAGCAGAGTGGGAATATTTCATGATGGTTGAAGGTTTGCTGTGCATTTACTCCTTTTGTAACCTTGCAGAGTGCATGTTGAATATGGAAGTAAGTTTTATTCTGACCAACAGGCTGCTGTACAAATGCAGAGCTTGTGGTTGGATCACCAGAACCAGGGATCCCTTGATATATTTGACACTTAACCCTTCTTCATGCGTCACCTCAGGGGTCCAGGCACGTCCAGCCCCTTTGGATGAACCAGCAATCCTTCCCCGACGCCGCGTCACCAGTGAGGGACACTCAGACGACGCTCTGTCCCCAGATGTCCCCGTTCGCTCACCCATCCGCTGCGTTTCTCCAGAGTTTGTCAACGCCATAGCGATGAACCCTGGAGGACGTCCCAAGGAGGTAGAAAACATGCACCGGGATCAGAGGATTTTCAAAGTGTTTGTGTTCTGACCTGCTTTTTCCACCTCTGCAGAGAAACATGCACAGCTACCGGGAGGCCTTTGAGGAAATGGAGGGAGGCCCCGTCAGTCCTACAGCCACATTTGGTGGTGAGGCGTTAACCCAAACCCCCGCCTTCCCCGTCTCACCACAAACCCCTTACTTCAACCTGTGTAAGTCCCCCTCCGGCTGACAGATGGCACTGTGGAGCTTAAATATTCAAGTCATTCATAAGCCTAAAAGTAGATTTAAAAAACTAAAACTTGATCTTTAAAATTCAGAAAGTGAGGTTATTTTTTTACTTTTTCAAACAAATTTGGTAAAACTTCAAAAATTCAATTATAAGCAACCTTTTTTTAAAATCTTTTAAGGATTTACCGCAAATTTAAACAACTCCAATGGAAATAAAGTTTTGATGGATTCCCAATTCAATTCCTTTTATTTATATAGCATCAATTCACAACAAATGTCATGTTAAGGCATTTTACAGAGACATTTAAACCAGATCATACAGGCTGATTGTTTCAAAGTTTTCTATCTAAGCAAAACCAGCTGATTGCATCGATTCATTGACTCGAAAGCAATCTCTCACACCAAGCATGCTTATTGCGACAGTGGAGAGGAAAAACTCTCTTTTAACAGGAAGAAACCTCCATCTGAACCAGGCTCAGTGTGAGCGGCCATCTGCTGAGGCTGATTGGAGTTCAAGGAGACAGAAGCAGAGATACAGAAAGAAGCAAAGATACCAAAGGCAACCATTAACCGGCTGTTACTGCTGTTTGTAGATAAACTGACATGAAATTCCTGAAAATTCACCCTGAATATTTAACTTCACTTCTAAATTAATTAATAATTATTATAAAAAAAAGAATTAAATTATCAATTAGTTGAATTGGGTGTATTTGCAAATGACCTGGATAAAAATTTTGCATCTAAACAACAACTTTTCAATTGACTTAAATATAATAATCTTACTTTAGGGGTGATAATTTTCATTCTAGTAGCAAATTATTGTTATTTCTGCTGAAAGGAAGGGAAAATAGACTTGGTTTGAGATGGTTTTCACTGATCTTTAGATTATGTTTTGCAGTCTTATAGAAAATGATCCTTACTAAGGTCTTTCAAATGTTCCAGTAAACCTTTAGCCAAAGAGTAATGTTAAAAGAAATTTTCCTTTGTATTTCAGCTTTGCTGTATATATCAAAATGACTGTCAGCATTCCTAGTTTTTATAAAAATATTTCAGTTCCTCTGCTGCAGTTTTATGTCCTTCTGCAGCCTCCAATAATTTAAGAAAAAAGTTTTCTCTCCTGGATAAACAACAAAAAAAAACTACAAGTTATTAAGAAAAGTTTTTTTATTCTCCTGCCAAACGTCTTTAAAGTGCATGTTTGAGGATCGGTTACGGTCTTCACATCTCTGCACAATCACACCATCTGTGATCAGAGGTGCAGTTTCAAAGAATTGATTGGGATTCTTTGGTAAGTGAAGGATGCACGACCCTGGAGGGGAGATCCACTGTCCCAAGCCGTCAGCCATATTGCCCCCCCACCCTCACCAACCTCTGTCTATGTGCCTGAGTGTTATTTGGCCATCGCTTATCACAACCCTGCACTGCTTTGGCGTGAGACAAACTGAAATGAGATCTGTTCATGAGCAGCGTTTTTATAAACCACCCCGACCCTCAGCGGCTGCTTCTCTCCGTGTTCCTGTGACTGAGTTCCCATTGCCGCCTTGTTTCCCTGCAACAGCACCCTGCTTATTCATTCATTGTTCCCCTTTTTTTTGTGTTGTTTTGTTTCATTATAGTTCTGCATGAAAGGAAAAACAAAGCTGTATTATTGTGGTCTAGGGCTTTCTTTACCTCTGGGATGCATCGGCGATAAAACCATATCCCAATTTAGGATTCCTTAGAGCAGGAAACATGGTTTCCCCACTACGTTTAGTCGCAGTATCGACTTAATCAATTCAGTTGTTTGGTCAGATGATTTTGAGTTGAAAGACCACAAAGCTACAATTTGGAGAGCATTTAATCAAAAGAGAAATTATCTTCTAAATTTTATTTTTAATGAATTGAAAATAAAGGTTTCCAGATGAAGATAATTGACTGCCTCATTAAAAAAACAATAGATTAAAGCTAGTAATCAAATATACAGTAACCATGAGTAAAACAAAGATCTGCTGTTTTCAGTTCTGTAGGATCAGAAGTTTTTAAGTCTAAAGAATCCATTCACTTTATTTCTTTTTTCTTTGGCATAAATGTTGATTTATTGCATGGGTTTTCTGTGCTTCAAAAGTAAAATACAAAAAGACTAAATTTGCAAATTAAAAAGTCCCTCAAAATTTAGTTTAAAGTCCAAAAAAGCCGCCTCCTTTATGCGTCCTTTCTAAGTTTATTGGTTTGACTTGGTTCAGCTTTATTATCATTTCATTTTTTGGCACCTACTGGTAGATCGGGTCAGAGTCTGATTGAAAGTGCTCACCTGCATGTTTTGATCCTTCATCAGAGCATGAAGCATGGGAACACCCACCTTTTGCTCTTTGTGTGTAAACCAACCCGAACATGTTGACAGCTCCTTACCTGGTTGTCTTTGAGGAAAAATAAAAACTGCCGTCTGGAATAACACCAGAGTTTATATGAAAAATGAATGTTTTTCAGTCAGACTGTATCAACAGGTACCAGCTGTCATCATGGCGGTAGGTCTGCTGTCGTTGTGTGACGCTGTCTAATTTCTCTCCTTCAGGCCGCTCCCCTCCTGGTCTCGCCAAGACTCCCCTGTCCGCCCTGGGGTTGAAGCCCCACAACCCGGCAGAGATCCTCCTCAACCAAACAGGCTCAGGTTGGTTCTGAAACCATCAACCATCATGTCTATGAGCTCATACAGTAGTAGCCATTCAAAATTTCCCCACTTTCCTTGATGGGCCCTTGGCTGGTACTTAGCTGGCAGTTGGAGGGGATTTTGCTGGGAGTTTCAGGGAAGTGGGCTGCTATTTGGCTGGTATTTGACTGGGAAGGGCCATTTTGAATGGCTGCTACTGTATATCAGGAAATACTAAACTTTGGACTCATAATTACCTTTAATAATTACTCACAGTTTAAAAAATATGATCATAAACTCAATGTTTATTTGACACTACAGCCGTAAGCTCCAGGAACAATTAAAATGCCAATTCTAGGACTCTTCAATTCTGAACGGTATTGTTCTTTACAATATTTTGCTTCTGGGTTCATCTCTAATTATGCAACAGATGAAGAGAGCAGTCAAAGTGAGGGAGGTAAGTTTAGAGATCATTGCTGGAACTCAAGTGTACCATCCGCAGCCATGTCATTTATCTTAAAGGGCATTTTTTATCATATTCGTCTTGTCAAGCTGTGCTCAGGTGTTATAGCTTCACTTTTATATCAAACGTAAAAAAGCATTCAGTATGGACTAAAGTGGTCATAGCAAAGCTTGCATAAGAAGAAGATATAAAACAGTCAACAACCTTGTCAGAGATTAAAAGCTCTCTGTGATAAGCGCAGTCTGCCTGGACTTCACCACCATGGAGCTGTAAATTTGGCTCCACTTTTTACCAGCATTCTTACCATAATTCAGCCTAATGATCAGAACTGGTCATCATACATATATGGCAGCGCCTTGCTGCTTTTTTTTGGAATCAGTCAAAAGGTTTTAGTTTTAAAAAAATTGAATTAGAAAAAAAAGAATTTTCATTTTTTAATGTTTGATGTGTCATAGAGATGATGATGATATGCCCTTTAAGATCTTCCTTGTCAGCGCCATTTTTTACTCACTCATCTTTTCTCAACGGTGCCTTCACTGTAGCTAAAGGAACTTCCTCTCATTTTATTTGACTCTTTCATTGCACTAGTCATTCACTAAAATGACAAATTGTCAAAGATCAAACTAGAAACCAATTATTTACAGGTTGAGGATGTTATAAAATGAAGTATTGGGTTTTCATTTTTCCTGTTAAGGCCCAAGAAGCTATGTGGAGTCTGTGGCGAGGTCTGCTGTGGTGGCTGGGGAGCCGCCATCATCACCTCAGAGCCTCAGTCCCCCTGGTGACCCCAAGAGTCTGAGCCCGGCCAGCCATACACTGAACCCACCTTTATCAAGCAGCAGTCCCATCCAGATTTCACAGGGGTGAGTCAGTTATGCTACCAAGAACTGCAGATATCTTTAAAGTAACTGCTGACAGCTTTATAAACCTTTAAACTTACATTTTTTGGGTTTGGAAATCCTCTCTGTCAAACTCTCTAAAAGAAATTGACTGACAGACCTTCCCCCTCGATTTCAGAGACCGTCTCCAAGCAGAGAGCATCATTAACATCCCTTCCCAACCAACTGTTGATTCTGGGTTCCACTCCCATCCTACAGAAAGTTCTTACGCGACTCGTTCTCCATCCAATCAAGACCTAAATCCATCCAGTTCTCCCTACCTGGACTCCAGCTCCCCAACCTCCTCCTATCTCGGATCCACAACCCCAACACTGTCCTATCTTGGCCCTAGCAGCCTACTGGGTAGTTATCCAAACTCCAATTCCAGCCCAGCTATCTCAGAACCCTCCAAGACCACATTTAACCATGAAGGTCTCCAGCAACAGCCCAACTTCCACAGCTCCAACTACAACCCAGTCCTTCAGCAGCACTTCAGTGTTAAACAAGATGCACCCATCCAGCCGCGTCAGAAGTCCCCGTCTAATGGCTTTGAAGTAGTGATGGCAGGGCTGGGTGGCAGCCCAGTCCTTGGTCGTCATCGGTCACAGGGGGCGCCGGGCAGTCCCGTTCTCAACAGACAGGCCTCTTTAGGACAGGGATCACAGCACAGCCCCGTCCTCAGCAGGCAGCCATCTTTGGGTCAGCCCATTCAGAGCAGCCCTGTTCTTAGCAGACAGCCATCTATCACACACCAACAGGGAAGCCCAGTGCTGGACCGTCACCCATCTGTTCCACAGATGTCGCAGAGAAGCCCCAGTTTAGATCGCCACCCCATGCACAGCGGCTACACTACACCAGATGAAAGACATGGAAACCTGTCGAGACAGAGTAGCTCTTCGGGCTACCAGGGACCCCCCACTCCCTCCTTCCCCATTTCCCCCGCTGGCTACCCAGATGGGGGGATGGGCATAGGTTTCAGGCAGGGTAGCCCGGCCCCCGGTTTCCAGCCTCAACTCCCAGAGAAAAGACGCATGTCGAGCGGAGATAGACCAAACGGAGCGCTGTCCTACGGGACCCTAAATGGGAAGATAATGTCCCCAATGAGTGGGGGGAGTACTGCTGGATACTTCAACACCCTCCCAGACTTATCGGGGTTCAGACGGCATGGTGAGAACTTCTATCATCAACACCAAGATGAAGAAATAATCTGATTAAATATTTTAACCTGTTCTGTGACTTTACATAATTTCATTATCAGAGGTGTTCCAGGAACCAAAGGATCCTCATGGTCGTATTATTTTCTCTGCAGATGGAAGCCCAGAGAGCAAGCTGAATGTTAAATTTGTTCAGGACACTACCAAGTTCTGGTACAAGCCTGACATCTCCAGGGAGCAAGGTAAGCTTAAACCCTGGTTACTTATCAGAGGTTGGTTTTCCTGTCAATGTGTGCTTTATTGATCTAAAGATCAATTTTATTTCTGGGCCACATCTCATGGTGTATTGTGGACAGAAGGAACGTCTGGCAAATGGTGTGGTTGTGTTGTCGTGCTTAAGCTATGACCTTCAGTTTGCACATGAGCATCTGAGGCAGCAAGGATAAGTCGGTGGCTCTGGGTCTGAGGTGGTTCTTGGTTGCGTTCCCCATGTTGGGGCTGTCTAAACCATGGGCAACCTTCATTCTCCAAGCTGTTAAAGTCCATCTTTTTGTGGTCTACCTTTATCGCTGAGTTTAATAAGTTATTAAATGTGGCAGTGCTTGTGTTGCATCCTGTCTGATAAATTAGGAGCAAAGCTGCAGGAAAAGTTTAGGGCGCTCCCTTCCTTCAGCCATCATTCAACCTGTTGAGCTAGCGGCTAAACAGGGAGGGAGTGGGAGCTGTGATGCTGGAGCTGCACACAACCTGAGCAACATGCAACATGCAGCAACATGAGGAAAAGATTAAGAAGTTTCGAGACAGTTATTTTTCTGAACTTTGGCGGATCACTAAAAAATTTAACTTAACTGACAGTAAAAACCTGCCATGTCAGCATAAGCTAAAGCCGATCCCACCGCCTTATGCACTTTTATTTCCTGCTTATATAAGTAAATGTTCTGCTCCTAAAACGGCTGCTACACTGGAAAAAAATCAAAATCTGGATAAGTCCTTTTTTTCTTAAGGAAAGTGCATTTGTTCTTGGATTAAGGAGTTGAAAGAGACATTTTGCCAATGGAACAAGACAATTTACACTTAAAATAAGAAAACACAATTGCAATGTCTTATTTCAAGTGTATATTATCAAATTATCTTATTTTAACAGTAAAAGTGCTCATTCCATTGGCAAACTATCTCATTTACCTACTCAAATTACGGGTAAATACACTTAATTTGAGATATTTTACTTATTTCTGGATCGTTTTTTCCAATGTACAGATGGATCACACAGATTTTATGCATTACATATTGACTCAGGGGCTTGTTTCCATTTTTTCTGGTGTTCTGTAAGCTTTGTCCACATACTGAGGAGATATCTACTGCTTTAATTCAATACAGCAAAGATAGTCAAACCTTTATGTCTTTCCACACTAAGCTGGAGGGACTCAGCTGAGATATTGATGCATGTAAGCCTGGTGACCCTTTAACTTCATAATTTATATAAAAAATGACCCTTGATGTGGTATTTGGTCAGGTTCAGTTGCATGATCTTTCTCCATGCTTCTATTGGATTATATCAACCCTAATACATGCATGACTGCAATGACATCAGACACATGCAGTTTATATTCAATGCAGTGTAGCCTCTAAGAGTAAAAGCCGCAGCATATGTAGGGAATTACTGAATATCTGGATTACTTGTCTCATTCATCTTTTCTGCTTAAACCGTCTCATGTACAAAGGCTAAAGTAGTAAAAACAGCAGTAAAAACTGCAGCTTGTCTCCCGATTGTCTGAAGAAAGTTGCCATTTTAGAGACCGGGCTCCAAATGCAGATGGTTTTAGTTTTTTTCTCCCACGTTAGAACTTTTTTTGGTTCTATCAAGGTCTGTTTGTTGGGCTACTGTATAAGAGTCTCCAACTCTACACAATTTCTGACATTTGAATTGAAAATACTTTCTGGATGGGAAGTGAAATGTTTTCAAACTTGGAAACAAAGTCCAGTGGATTGCTTTTTTTTTTTTTTGGGAATGGCTATGACCTGGATGACTGAGAATCTTCACCTGCTTCCTCATGTTGTACCTTTAATTAAGGAAATAAAGCAACTGTGCCACTTTTGACCTACATATTAGCTTAATTTGATATATAATAAATTATTTTAGAGGTAAATATGCAGAGATAATTTCTTTTGTAAAAAAAAAAAAGGATATTTTCATTTCACTTTAATAATTAACCTGACATTTTAATAAATTCTGTATGTTTACAGCCATCAACCTGCTAAAAGACAGAGAGCCAGGAGCCTTTGTGATCAGAGACAGTCACTCATTCAGGGGGGCGTACGGCTTGGCGATGAAGGTGGCTTCCCCCCCTCCCTCTGTGCATCAGAGCAAGAAAGGTAGGAGGTATCTAGGGGTGGTTTTCTGTGGAGTTTAATATCCTGATACCAGCAAAAAACTGAGGGAGGTTCCAACCGTAATCGATTCATCCTCTTGCGTCTTGCAGGTGACATCACCAACGAGCTGGTGAGGCACTTCCTCATTGAAAGCAGTCCAAAAGGAGTGAAGCTGAAAGGTTGCCCCAACGAGCCTTATTTTGGTAGGAAGACCATCTGCAAACATCTCTGATGAGTTAGAAAGTAAAATTAAGAACTGGTTTCTATTCTTTCTAAATTTGAGTATTTATAGTAACTACTGATTGGACCTCAAAAGTTAATCTATATATTATGTAGTGTTTACAACCAGAAATCCATTTGAGTTTTTGTGACTGTTAATGTAGTTTTCAGGTTTCTTTAATAAACTTTTGAGCACAGAAACAGAGTAAATATAGGTCAAAGATTTCTGACCGAGGTCTTTTTGATGTACTCACATTTTAAATACAACAGTTTAACTTCTTTTTAATATTAAAGGGGCATAGTCAATTTATATGCTTATAAAAAAAGATTAAAAACCATTTGAGCACAATAAAAAATAAGCTTATATACACGACATATCTGTTTAGATGGACCTTTAAGCCTAAATAGAATTCCTGCACCAGGTGTGATGCGATGACATAAACAGGTGTGGCGCCATCTGCTGGCAGTACCACAGACCCGTCAGAAAGCCAGAAAGTGAAAATTGATGCAACAACTAAATCGAGCCCAACAGTCTCACAGTGCCTGACGTTAAAGCATTTAGAACTTTAAGGAAAAATACAATTACTAAAGGTAAACAAGATAAGGAATATTTAAATGAAATAAATAAATAAAAACATCAGGCTAAAACCTTCATTGGAATGAACACTGATAAAAAGCCATACGTATATTTCTCCTAAGAGTAAAATTTTGTTTTTTCTTAGACTGTAGTGACTAAGAATAGCTTTTCTATCAGTAATAATGAGAATGATTAGTCACCTATGCCTCCTGTTTATCCTGTACCCCGATCTCTTTTCCAGTCTTATCTCTCTTGAAATCCAATATTTTATTTTATTTATTTTTTTCCACGGTTTTACTTTTCTTCAGTATTTTTACTCCATGTGAGGCGCTAACAGGCTTAGCCACATTGCTTCTTTGTTTTTCCCCCTGCATATATGTGCATTATCGTACAGTACCTCCAGACACTCAATGGTTTATTGTAAATAAGAAAAAAAGAGATTTATTTACTAAACTAATCACTAACAGAAACTAACAAACATATCATCACGATGCAGTACTTTTTTAATGTCATGTAACGTGATTTTATCCCTTTAAAGGTCACTACTGATGTATTGAAATGCAGGACAGAGCATTAGGGCCATTCTAAGAGATTTTTTTTTAAATGCCCAAATAACAATGAGAGTAAAGTTCTAATAGTACAAAAAATAAAAAGTTGTTTGAATGAGAAAAAAAACTTCTAAAGAGCTAAAATCAATACATGCAGCCACAGATTTCTTATGTTTATTTCTGCATATTGCTATTAGAACCACATATTTCTCTTTTTGACTTTGAATCCACGTTTCCCAACTTAAAAAGATGAGCGTGGTTCTGTCCTGCCGATAGACATGTTCTCTTTCATTTTTTTCTAACTTGCAGCATAAAGCGGTCACCAGGTTTAATCAGAAAACATTGAACTATACTTTTCTACCGGAAAATTATAGAAATAATTATATTAAACTATTTTCTGCAAACTGAAAAATACATGTAACCAAAACATATCACTGCAGAAATAGTTTATTCACTCTGCAGAGATAAAAATAAAAGTGTTATTACTTTAAAAGAGGCCAAGAATAAGTTCAAAGAATTGTCATAAATATAATTTTTTTCAGTTCCTATAAAAGTTTGTTGTGTTTGGCAGGTTGCCTCTCTGCCTTGGTCTACCAACATGCCATCACTCCTCTGGCGCTCCCCTGCAAGCTCCTCATCCCTGCCACAGGTATAAACCATCAGCGGTGGGGTTTTAGAGACGTTTCTATGTTGTTTTTTTTTCCCACAGAGTAAATTTCTAAATGTTCTCTCTGTAGATCTCATGGAAGAAACTCCGGAGGTCACAGCGACGAACCCGCTGGCTGAAAGGCTGAAACAAGGAGCAGGTAAAACATTTAACTGTTCTCTTTGAAGCGCAGCCTGTGAAGTGATGGCAGTGTTTAGATCAGGAGTCCTCATTCTGACAACCTGACTTCCTTGTTATCTCAGTGCAGAGCGCCCCCGCTGATTCCCATGGTAAAGCCATTTTCACATCTGGAATGTGCATCTTATATGTCGCTCTATGTATTTAACAGCAGCGTCCAGCATCTCCGTAACCTTTTCTGTGGAATGATTTCCCTCTTTAACCCCCAGATTTGTTCCTTGAAGCATGAAAGATGTCGAAGCACTTTTTGCATGAACAGAATCGATCCTGCTCAACAATTCTTACACATCTGAGGTGTTTTCTTTCTCCTTCCAGCTTGCAACGTTCTCTACATAAACTCGGTGGAGATGGAGTCCCTGACGGGTCCTCAGGCTGTTGCCAAGGCCATTTCTGAGACACTGGCTGCTGCTTCCCCTCCCACCGCCACCGTTGTGCACTTCAAGGTGTCCTCCCAGGGCATCACGCTCACAGACAACCAGAGGAAGTAAGTCTCGTCCAGCTCCTTCTGACAGAGTAATGCCATTTTCCAACCCTACACGTCAAACTATTTTGCAGTCAGCTGACTCTTTTCGAATGTATTGCTACACACTGATTAAAAAACAGTCGAACCGATCATGGACCCCCCATTCCTGAATCTTCTGCTCCTCATTTCCCAGAACAACCCCTGCTCTCTGCTTTCAAAGTAGCTCAGTGATGAAACTTCTCTAACAAAATGCTTTCTCTTCTTTTACAGGCTGTTCTTCAGACGTCACTACCCCGCTAACACTGTCACCTTCTGCAACACAGACCCTCAGGACAGGAAGTGAGTCAGCAGAGATTTAAACAGTTCAACCAGCTTATCCAGAGGTTGCTTCTTGTTACATGAGAACATGAAGCCATAAAGCAGTTATAACCCACTCTTTCTCTTTAAAGTTATAGGGAAGTCATATTTACATGTTAAATCATTCTGGCTTAAACATGGATATTGTTGTTCTCTGTGGGCTTCTACTCTCAAAGACCACCTATGTAATTTAAGAGAGTCAGATCCATCTCTTTAGCAGTCAAGTGAGGATTTAATTTAGAGTTGATGGTACATCGTCTTTATAAGTGACTCCTTGACTTCTCTGCTTGTCTAAAGTGCTCCGCTGTCAGATTCTAAAACAGAGAGGAAGACGTTTTAATTTTGCAACTGTGCAGTGTTCCTTCTAAACCTGGAAGTTACAGGTCTAGTGCCCCTAGTGGCCAAAAGTTTCCACAATAAAAGAAAATGTAAAATGTGCTTCAGGTTTCTGATTGATAAGGCAGAAAATGTATTTTAATATTTTCTGGAGATGCTGCTGAACAAGTATGAAGTATCGGTATTATTTTAAAATTTTGATCTAGTTATGTTAAAGAAATATGAACTTATAGAATGTTTATTAGGAGTCCTTATATTTGATCTTTTTTTCCAGATGGAGCAAACCTGAGGGAGGCCCAGCAAAGTAAGCGACCGCTCCGTCACCTGTCTGCGTGTTTCCTGGTCAATTCGGTCGTAAAGATTCTCACCTGTTTCTTTCAGGCTCTTTGGATTTGTGGCGCGGAAGCAGGGAAGCACAACAGACAACGTCAGCCACATCTTTGCTGAGCTGGACCCTGACCAGCCCGCCAGCGCCATCGTCAACTTCGTGTCAAAGATAATCGCCTCGCAGGCCCGATGAGGAGCGGGGCTAACCCTCCCCCCCACCCCGGTTCTTTTTTCTTTAAAATCCTTTGGTTGAATTTTCTTTCCTGTCTGGCCTCTATTTTTCACGCTGTCACCCTTTTTTCCTGCTCTGTCACCTTTCAGATGCGTGGCTCTTCTCGGATGGGTTTCAGAACAGAGCGGAGGAAGTGACGGATGGGGGGGTGGGTGTGTAGAACGGTGGGACGGAGGCGTAAATTAAATTAAACCTCCGGGGATGGGTAAACCGAGAAAAGAAAGAGGGAATGATTGTGTATAAATAGTAACGTTTGAGCAGTTTTTTAAACTTTTTTTTAAGAGAAAGTGAAGTTGTGTGAAGGTAGACTGTTTCTTTCAGGCTTCTCAACCAAAGATTTGAACCAGGGAGTCAGGGCGCGAACGGTGCACCGCTCTGAGGGTCACGAGTTTTGTAAACAAATATGGCGGCTTAATCCAAAAAAAAAAAAAAAGTTTCTTTCTGTATGTAATGATACTGTAGGTCAACTCTGCACCATTGCTGTCTTAGAAAAAAACAAAAAAAACACTGTTGGACATTTTGCAGCTGGTGGGGTCTGTAAATATTCTGAATGGCTTTCTTTTTTGAGTGGGACTGTATTAGACAACATCCGGTGCCTGACTTTGTTTTCCAAACGAAGAGCTTTGAGAAAATCTCCACGGCGACCTAAATATGCAAACAGCCAAACATGGAAATAAGCTTGGTGCAGAGCTGAAGCTGATGCAGGTAGCTTCGACTATCACTGTGAGCTCAGAAGAATCCAGCTGATCCTCTGCATCCACCATCACTGCATGGCTGCATGTAGGCAGTTTAACTCACCCTTGACTGAAAGGCCCCGAGTTGTTCTGAGTTCATCTTTCTTTACGGCTCTCGGTTTTTGTCTGTGGAAACAAGCAGAGTCAGAACGCTAACACTCACCCTACCCAAAAGTAAGCTATACCTATAAATATATATGAGTTCTATATATAAACTTCCGGTGATTTAAGATATTTATTTTTTTTTGGCTTTGTTGCTTCATTTTAACTTGTATACCTGTATTATAAAGTATACATCCAGATTACTAAAAGGCTTTTATTTTGCCTGAAGTGTATCGGCAGAAAAGTTGTAAAGCGTATGCATTTAAAAGTGCATCACTGATGTTATGAATGTTGCATTTTTCACAGCTTATTTTTTTAACACTTTTGTTTTGTTTTTTTTTGTTTGTAGGAGGGGAAATATTTTGTATCAAAGATTATTATTACCTAAGTCCAAATTGGAGTTGATCTAAAGTGAAGCCATAGATAAAATGATTTTTAACTAGAACCTGCCCAGAACATGCTTTGTCTACAGTTAGCACTTAAAAGTTTTAACACAATTTGATGGAAATTTAGACGAAACGACCTGAGGATTAATGTAGACGTCCGATCAAATAGTTTTTTTTAATTCTGAGATAACCTCTGAGTCAGTTTAATCTGCTACTGAAGTAGCAGCCATATTCTTCAACGTTTAGGAAGAGAAGCATTAAAGGTATAATGGAAGATCTTAGCAAATTTTTGAAAAGACCCGCCCTCTACACTTGCAAAAAAATGCACATGTACAACCCTGTACCCGCTTCCAATGAGGGAACGCTTATTAGACGCATGCAAGAGCGTGCACAAGCCCATTTCTCCTCGTGCACACTCTGTTTGAAAGTTCCTGTGTGCATCACTCATACAAGCTCACTTTCCAAAAGAAGATTTGCAATGTTTTCACTATGTCAGCTTCACTACTGCTAAGTGAAAATGGAGGCGAGCACGTACTGTAGGACAGCCTTACGTAAACATATCACCAGAATGATTGACAATTAGGAGGACTACCTAATAGTAGAGAACATCCTCCACTATACCTTTAATTTGAATTGAAATTAGCTCCATTTTAAACTAAATGGCTGTAAAGTCGTGCTTTGGTTTCATATCATCAGATGAGCATCCATTAGGGCAGTGTTTTTCAACCCTGGTCCTCAAGCACACTGCCCTGCATGTTTTAGATGTTTCCCAGCTTCCACACACCTGTTATCAATTGATAGCAGATTATCAGGCTTTGCTGAACTGCAATCATCTGAATCAGGTGTGCTGAAGCTCAGAAACATCCAAAACATGCAGAGCAGGGTGCCTTGAGGACCAGGGTTAAAAAACACTGCATTAGGGGATGACTGATCTGGATCTAATGTGGTTATACATGGCATAGGTGTACAGCAATATGTTAAAATCTCCTTTTCTTTGGAGAACGATCCTGAACTGGTTCATCCTCCAGCAGACTCACAGAGTTTGACAAGACTAATCTACCGACATCAACATCTTGACGTCTAACTAGCCGTAATCAGGACCCTTCCAGGGGTATTGTAACTGACCAAAGGAGTTCATGTGGCCAGTTGGTCATGTGGTACAGATGTTATAATGGCCGTATGTTCCAAAAGACCAATCCAAAACTAACCACACCAAAGGAAGATGATAACCTGATAAAAGTGCTAAATATGAACCCAATTCAGTTTGTTTATTTCCTTTCAAATAACAGAGGAAAGATCTTAGGAAGAAGAACTATTAAACCGGACTCTATGTTTGCAGCTGTGACATTAAAATCCCAAATCTTCAGTGTATGGTTAAATGAGACGCTAGCGCCCTCATGTGGCGCAGAACAATACCTACAAAACCACTCGCAGTTCTAATACAGTGTTTTAACTGTGTTAGATGTTTGAACAAATTGAGTAAAAAAAAATTATCCACTCATTAAGAGTAAAAAACCTATCCTAATGTATTTTGTAGACAAAAGTATAATTTGTTTTTAAGCCATTACATTTTATTTCTTGAGGACAGGTTGCCAGCATGATGGATGGTCTAAAGTATTTGGGGCCTTACATTAAGTTAAAAAAGAAAATGCAGCACTTACAGGATTTTTATATCTTCCTAGAATGTATTTATTAGCGGGGGCTTGCACGCTCATCCAACTGTAACCTTAATGCTGCTGACTAATCTGTGCACAGCATCGAGTTTTACCCAAACCAGGCCCATAGGTAGATTTTAAATGCTTTTGACTCGGCTTACGTAACAAAATATACATTATTTTATTTTTTTTTTAAACATAAGTTTTTGCTTCCAAAGCAGTTAGTGAAGTAAACAGACTTTGAGCTGAAACTCCAGAGCGTCTGCTGACTTTAACAGAATCCCTCTGGACTGTAGAATGTGTATGAATGAGCTACGACTCCTGTAAAGAGCTTTTTCTGTTTTTGGTTTGCTACATTGTATGTATTTTACCATTTCCAATGGATAAAAATATTAAAAAGCAGTACAAATCAAATGTTTTTGTCTTTTGTTATACTTGCCTGAACTTTAATTCAGGATTATTTTGACATATTTTTTTCCATAGTATCAGTTTGCTGGGTTTTTTTGGGGGGCAGAAAACAAATTTTTTAGTTATTGTCAAAGGAAAGCTCTGTGTTTACACCTTGAAGCTTCCTCTCTCCCGTTCATTTTGCAGAAAAGACATCACTCAGGACAAACGGTTTAAATAACACTTCATAACGTTTATATATTAAATAACCATGACACATGACAACAGATTTTGATAGAAATTTTAATCTTCTTACTCAGATCAAAGAAGTTGCTTTGAGTTACAGAAGGCAGCTGCCTACCAACTGGGCTCACTTCTCGGGAAGTGGCCCTGACGCACAGGTAGAGGAGCATTTTATACATCAGTATGCCACATTATTACATCATTACATCATACATGTTTGCAGATGAGGAGACATCTACACTGCAAAAAATTGAAGTAATTTTCCCTTAAAATAAGTGCATTTTTTCTTGATTTTAGGTGGTTAGTGAAGCACTTTGCCAATGGAACAAGACAATTTACATTTAAAATAAGAAAAAACAATTATATTGTCTTATTTCAAGTGCATGTTATCTAATTATCTTATTTTAGGAGCAAAACTACTCATTCTATCGGCAAATCATCTTATTTACCGGCTCAAATTAATGGGAAATACACTTAATTTAAGAAATGTTTACTTATTTCTAGATTGTTTTTGCAGTGTATTCTTAGCACTGTTCTTTTTTCATTCCCAAATCTTTGCCACATACAGAATGAAGATTATAACTGTGTGTAGCCGGACTGAGGAACTGCCCTAATTAGATAAACTCATCTAGATATGATATACTGTATATATAGTGTTTATTCTTAATGCACCTTGTCCTCCTTGTTTGCACCTTCTTTAATTATTATGCCAATATGTGACCAATGAATTTCTCCGCTGTGAGATCAATAAAGCTCATCTAATCTAACTATTTGAGAAAGCATCAGTTTTGACATGCAACAGACAGCTAATATTAAGGTGTAATAAACTCACATATCATTAATGATAATTATCCTAACATTACAATCTAGAAAACATGTTTTGCTTCATGCAGAGCTGTTTCTGGAAATAAGTAGTACAAGCTTGAAAATGGATTAAAGGAATAGTACACCCAAAACATGATTAGCCTTCATTTTCTACTCACCCCCATGCTGAACAAAACTCTGGAGTACTTTTTTGATATCTCAAATGCATCTGGAGATCTGGGAGGCTTCTTGCTGTCTGCTGACATTCAAATAATGGAGGTCTATGGCGCCCGAGACAGAAAGGTCCATAAAAGTCCACAAAAACGTGTCAATATTCCTCCATACTGCTCGTCCAATGTAATCCAAGCGTCCTGAGTGGGTAGCATCCAGAATTTACTCGAAACGAAGTCATTTAGAACGTTTTAGAGCCTAAACAGTAGTGTATAGGATTTCCTAATAGCGCCCCCATGCGCGCTCACGATTCTACGGAAGCCGGCAGACCAAACCAGATGAAAGTGCGCATTCAGCTCGGCAAAGAACTCATGCTCTTCCTCAACACTGAAGTCCTCAGACATTTTTCTTTCGTTGTTTCTTTCTTTGCACAGGTAAACAGCACATTTCTTCTTTTACGCTTGCATTATCGGCAGAGCAGACGCTGAATGCGCACTTTCTTCCGGTTTGGTCTGCCGGCTTCCGTAGAATCGTGAGCGCGCATGGGGGCGCTATTAGGAAATCCTATACACTACTGTTTATGCTCTAAAAACATTCTAAATGACTTCGTTTCGAGTAAATTCTGGATGCTACCCACTCAGGACACTTGGAATACATTGGACGAGCAGTATGGAGGAATATTGACTCGTTTTTTGTGGACTTTTATGGACCTTTCTGTCTCGGTCACCATAGACCTCCATTATTTGAATGTCAGCAGACAGCAAGAAGCCTCCCAGATCTCCAGATGCATTTGAGATATCAAAAAAGTACTCCAGAGTGTTGTTCAGCATGGGGGTGAGTAGAAAATGAAGGCTAATCATGTTTTGGGTGTACTATTCCTTTAAGCGTATTAAAATGTTTGAAGATGTATTTGACTGAAATTCTTAATATTGGATCAATAAAACTCCAGTAGGTATTGGATAATTAGACACAGTCTTAAGGTTTCTCTTAAACCATTTGTTATTGTTAATAATATGTGAAATAGTTCACTTTATTCTTGAAAAATGTAAAACTAACATATGTTTCTGTATTAAACCATCTTAATTATGTTTATTTTTTTTCATTTTTATTGATCTCGCAATGGAGAAATTCAATCTTTAAGAAAATATGTGGTTAAATGATCAAAAGTTTATTTATAAAGCCCTTTTCAGCAATACAATTCAAAGAGCTGTATATCACAAGAAAAAAAAGGACTGAAGGCAACAGAATAATGATACTGAAAATTTTCTATTAAAAGATAAAATTATTAATAAGAAAGTAAATGAAAAAAGTGATTATCATTTTAAATACTAAAACTATTTGGAGTCCTATCAGGACAGGAGTACTTTTTCCATTATGACTGTTTTAGATAATGCTGCAATCTTAATGCAATGTTGAGTAGGAGTGATGAACGGGAGGAATTACTGAGCTAACGATCCAGATAGTCAGAAAGGAGAAAAGTGGTTCCAGCTATTAGTAACTGAACAAAACCAAAAAAAAAAAAAAAATCACCTTTGTTCATTTAAAATTTGCTCTAATTCTGCTAAGCAGGCTGCTGCACAGCTCCTTTAGTCTCTGCTTAGGTCTTCTTTCTAACCGCAGCGTCAGAAATCCCTGTAATAAAATGAAATTAATAACCAACCTGAAAAATGCTTTTATTTATGTTACAGGTCATGTTGCGGACTTCATGTATTTCTCAGACATTACTAGTGGCAGGCTTAACTGAAGTTATTCCATCGGCAGCTCAATCTGAAATTCAAATACAGCCCCCAAATTCTGGATATATTGAAAATGTATTCCTCCTAATTTCAGAAAGTGAAAGTCATTTAGACTCGTTACAGAGTGAAGTATATTAAAAAAAAATTTTTTTCCGTAATTTTGATGCTTATGGCTCAAAAAATAAAATCTCAGAAATCAGTGTCTGAGAAAATGTGAATATATAAAAATCAATAAAAAAGGATATTTCAAACGGAAATACAAAGCTTCTAAAAAGGGTTTTATTTCTACAGACACATTTTGCTTGATTGGGGCTGCTTTAATATAAATTACTGCATCTGACAGCGTGACATGGAGATCAGCCCATAGCTCTGAGGTCTATGGAAGATCAGGTGTCTGTGTTGTTGGTTATGGTGTCTCGTCTTCCTCCTGACAATACTTCACAGATTAACTCTGAGGTTCGGGTCAGGGCAGACTGCTGGCACATCAAGCACAGGAAAACTGATCAATAGACCAGCTTTTGGTTCCTTTGGCGTTATGGTACCAAGTTCTGCTGGAAATAAAATCAGCTATTCCATAAATTGTCTTGACAGAAGGAAATGTGAGGTGCTCAAAAATGTCCTGGTAGATGGCTGCATTGACTGTAGACTTTGGAAAACTCAGTGGATCAGAATCAGGAAATGGCATCAGTGGCTGAGGGGACAGAAACAGGTAGATTCAGAGCCTAACAGACGATTTGATCTAATTTCCAAACAACATTTAAGCTTTACTTCATTTGAAACAAAGAGTTTGAATCACTGAGCAACAGTCTAATCATTTGTAGCCAGATAAGAATGTCAAAGTCTACATTTAGGAAGCATCTTTGCTTAGTGGCTGTTAATACTCCACCTTCAGTCCACTGCTTGTGAAGCTTGACCATATTCCTGATTAAATTTGCTGGAAGGTCAAATTGGCTCAAACAACAGAGGATGGTCTGATCTGACAATGAAGTCCGTTTGCCTTTAATTTCTTTAGTAGATTTTCTGGGCTCTTTTACTAACAATTACATTATCCATCTATTTTCTGTCATGCTTTATCCCAGCTGGGTTAACAAGGTGTGCTGGTGTCTATGTCCAGCTGTCTACGGATGAGAGGTGGGGTCCACCCTGGGTAGGTCACCAGTCTATAGCAGGGAAACACAGAGACAAACAGGACAAACAACCATTCATGCACACACTCACACCTAAGGAGAATGTAGAGAAGCCAATTAACCTAAAAGTCATGTTTTTGGACTGTGGGAGGAAGCTGCATGCTTTCATTTTCAACATGCAAACTCCATGCAGAAAGACCCTGGGCCAGGANATATATATATATATATATATATATATATATATATATATATATATATATATATATATATATACCTGCTGGGGGATTGGAGAATTAACCTTATCTGAAAAAATGTTAAAATTCCCAAAAATATTATTAGGTATTTAGGACTCATTTAAGAAAGCAACAGAAAAATCTTAACAGTTTTTCCCTTTTAAGTCTGTCTAAATTACTTCAGAAAGTCTCTAAAAATGGTGATGCTGTTGCACATTTTTTTTTGTGTTGATATATTTTGTTTTTTAAACCAGTATGGTTATTTTTTCAGTTTTTTTATTCTCTCGGCATCCAGAGTGAACAAAGTAAGAATTTCCTTATACAGGTGTTTCTTTAGTTTTCATATCATATATACATGTTCATATCAAATATGAATTATTTTAAAGTGGCTCTCTGTGTTATATAAGGTGATGTATGTTTTTTTTACATCTTCCCCAAAAACCCTTTTCTGTCTGGAATATTTGTAATGTTTATACTGTATGTTCAACATTTTACAATATAAGCTAATTTGAATAATAATCTCAATCTACTCTAATAATATTTTGAGATAATTTAAAGATGCCATGAAACTGAACCCCTCAGTAGAAAGACTTAACCTGCTCCTCAAACTGTTTTTGAACTATTTCTGCCTTGAGGAAGAAACATTTTCCTGATGAGGAAATAGGAACCTATTAAAACCACCAGCTTTATGAAAGTGAATAAATGGC